CACCATCTAGCTCGTATCTTGTAACTCTATCATCATTACCTAACCTCAGAACTTTACATTTATCAGCATTAAACTGCATCTGCCAATCCTTTGACCATTTCAAAACCCTATCTAGATCAACTTGAAGTGATAGTGAGTCCTCCTCCGAATTAATTTCCCTACCGATTTTCGTATCATCGGCAAATTTGCAAATGTTGCTACTCAAACCTGAATCTAAATCATTTATATATATTATAAACAACAGAGGTCCCAGGACAGAGCCTTGAGGCACTCCACTTACAACATTTTCCCACTCTGACTTGATTCCATTTATACTAACTCTCTGTTTCCTTTGGTATAGCCATGCCCTAATCCAGCTTAATATAGCACCCCCAATACCATGAGACTCTATTTTTCTAATCAGTCTTTCATGTGGCACTGTATCAAAAGCTTTGCTAAAGTCAAGGTATACAACATCGCAATCCTTACCACTATCAACTGCCTCAACAATGCTAGAATAAAAAGATAACAAATTTGTTAAACATGAACGGCCATTTATAAAACCATGTTGCGACTCAATTATTAATTTATGTTTTTCAAGATGAAGACGAATTTTATTTGCTATTATAGATTCGAGTAACTTTCCCACAATAGACGTTAGGCTAATTGGTCGATAGTTAGACGCAAGTGATCTATCTCCTTTCTTAAAAACTGGTATCACATTAGCAACTTTCCAAAACTCTGGCACTCTGCCTGACTCTATTGATTTATTAAATATGGTTGACAGTGGGTCACAAAGCTCCTCTTTGCATTCTTTAAGCACCCTAGCAAACACTTCATCCGGCCCTGGGGATTTGTTTGGTTTGAGTTTTACTATTTGTTTAAGAACATCCTCCCTGGTAACTGCTAAACTCGTCAACCTGTCCACGTCCCCACCCACATAGACTTGTTCGGCTGAAGGCATATTGTTAAGTTCCTCTTTAGTAAATACAGATACAAAATATTTATTAAAAATACTACTCATCTCTTCATCACTATCTGTTATTTGACCTGTCTCAGTTTTTAATGGACCTATCCTTTCCCTAGTCTTAGTACGATATAACTGAAAAAACCCTTTAGGATTTGTCTTTGCTTGCCCTGCTATGCGAACTTCATAGTTTCTTTTTGCTTTCCTTATCTCTTTTTTAACATTTCTAACCAGTTGTACGAATTCCTGTTCTAAAGTGACCTCCCCATTTTTAATCCTTTTGTACCAAGCTCTCTTTTTACCTATAAGGTTCTTCAAATTCTTTGTTATCCACTTTGGGTCATTAGTATACGATCTATTCAATTTGTATGGTATACTACGTTCCTGTGCTTTGTTTAGAATATTCTTAAATAAGTTATATATTGAATCCACATCGAAATCCCCATTTAAGTCACCTATCGCTGGGTTCATGTCTCGCTCCAAGACCGGCCCACACCCCATACCCAAGCCTTTCCAATCAATTTGACCCAAAAAATTTCTTAGGCTATTAAAATCAGCTTTTCGAAAATCTGGCACTTTAACAGAATTTTCTCCTACTGGTCTATTCCATTCTATGCTAAATCTGATTTCTTTGTGATCACTGCTCCCTAGCTCACTCCCTATTTCGATGTCATTAATTTGCGTTTCCCTGTTAGTTAACACTAAATCTAAAATATTATTTTCCCGTGTTGGTTCCTTAATGTGTTGCGTAAGAAAGCAATCGTCAATTAATTCTAGAAAATCTTCTGCTTCACTATTCCCTGTTTTGTTCAACCAGTTTATTCCGCTAAAATTAAAGTCACCCATGACATAAATACTGTTAGATCTAGATGCTCTAGATATTTCATCCCATAGATGCTTTGCTTCCATTCTGTCTAAATTTGGTGGCCTATATATTACTCCTATTATAATATTATTAGCTTTTTCGTTTAATTCAATCCAAATAGTTTCTGTGTGTGGCTCTGTTTTGATTCCCTCTTTGAGACTACATTTCAAATTATCCCTAACATATATGGCTACTCCACCTCCTCGTCTAATATATCTATCTGTGTGAAATAGTTTAAATCCATATATTTGATATTCAGCTAATAGTTCTCTATTTTCTACATTCATCCACGTTTCGGTAAGTGCAATAATATCTATTTTTTCTGTGCAGACAAGAGCATTTAATTCGTTAATTTTATTTCTTAGACTTCTACTGTTAGTGTAATATACCCTAAGTGAATTGTTATTTTGCGGACCTTCTCTTTCCCTGATCGTTTTGCCAATTCCTTTCTCCCACAAACACATACTTTTATTACCTCCTTCCTCCAAATCAATTCCCATACCTCTATCTACTAACAGTTTAAACCCAAACAAACACCTCTAACCACTTCTTCTAGCGAGTTCGCAACAGCAACAACCCCAGCTCTCGATAGATGCACCCCATCACGAGCATACATTTCATTTCTTCCATAGAAGTGTTCCCAGTTGTCTATGAAAGATATTGCATTTGATTTGCAATATCTTTCCAGCCGGCAATTGACACCAAGTGCCCTCGATATCCATTCATTTCCCACTCCCTTTCTTGGAAGAATGCCACATATGATCGGGATTCCTCCCTTGTGATCGAGGAAACAATCGAGGGACCCCACCTCCACAATGTTACGCGGCAATTGGTTCCACAAATCAACAACCCTGTTACTGAACCAGTATTTACCCAAGTCTTTCCTAAATCTAAACTTATCCAATTTATACCCATTGTTTCCTGTTCTGTCTTGTGTTGATACTTTTAATACCCTATTAATATCCCCTTTGTTATGTCCATTCACCCACTTGTAAACCTCTATCATGTCACCCCTAACTCTTCGCCTTTCCAGTGAATGCAACTTAAGCTTTGTTAATCTTTCTTCATATGAAAGATTTCTAATTTGGGGAATTAACTTAGTCATCCTACGCTGGACACCTTCAAGTGAATTTATATCCATTCTATAATATGGCGACCAAAACTGAACTGCATAATCTAAATGGGGCCTAACTAGATCTAACTAATGGGGCTTTTGATCTCGAGGAGTGAACACCAGTTCCTGGGTTTCGCACTACTACCTCGTTCTTCTATTATTATTTGGATATATAGTATAAAGTTTTGAATCTGTGTTTAGATATTGCATCAACTAACCTGTTTATTCCGCTGACGGTGAATCTTCGAAAGACTCAGTTGTATACTTTGTTTCTTTCCGTATTCTTTAGTTTTCTTCCCCAACCCCTCCAGGATCTGTCTGGGGCTACTTTCGTGAGCCACCAAGCATAGTGTACGCACTCATCATGCCTCCTCTTTTATCTTTCCTCCAGTAACGTAATGTTCCTTCCGTTAGCTTTCCCCCTCTTAACACTACCGTAGTTGGGAGACTACTTGCACCAGGGCCCCAAAGGGTAGGCGAGTGAGACCTGGAAAGCCCCCCTCTAGCTGTAAATCCCATGGTACTTCAGGACCATACTTCTATCCCCTCCTGTTTTGTGAACCAAATTCAACGTTGGATGAATATTGCATTTATACAGATTATCGTTTTCTGCAAGCTTCTTGCTGGCTTCATAATCATATACAGTAATGGTGTTAAGTTTTATAATAGAACTAGCACTAGACTCGATTGTAGGCGGCGTGAGTTGTAGCGCTGCCAACCTACCCGCCTCGGTGACTCAAACAAACCTGTTTATTATAATTTTAACCTTAACATTTGTGGCTATACAAAAATGATATGAAAAGGTGTCAGGTTAGTCCAGAAATGAGAACCCCCAGTTGAGATACCCTGGGGCTGGCATAAACTGATACAATGAAACTTCTAGTGCGGAGAAGCTTGTTCTGGCGTATTAGAGGAATACAATCCGTCCACCGAACAAAGACCCAAAAGTGATTCCATGCACCTGCCAAACCCCCTGTTTATGAATGAAAAACGGTTTACACACAACCCGTCCTCGACTCAAGTCCATTACATCCAGCGGTCGACCCCACAGACGCATTCATAAATTTTAATATGCTGTTCATTCAAAACGGGAATTTTCTCAAGTATAAATTAATATTGTATTAGCATATTGTGCATATATAGGCATAGGTTAGGTTAGGTGTTTAGGTTCTGTTGGCGATTATTTGTATTTGTAGTACGTGGGTGAAGCATTTATAGCGTTGTGATTCGAACAAAATTCGTCAGTGAAACACTTGTTCCGGATATGTTCGAACGTCAGCAGTTGAGTCGTGTGTAAACCGCTTTTCATTCATAAACAGGGGGGGTTGGCGGGTGCATGGAATCACTTTTGGATCTTTGTTTGGAGGACGGGCTGTTACACACGACTCTGAACTGATTTAGTTCGAACACTTCCGGAACAAGTGCTTCATTAACGAATTTTGTTTGAACCACAACGCTGTAAATGCTTCACCCACATACTACAAACTCAAATAATCGCCAACATAACCTAAATATCTAACCTAACTTGTATATGCACAATATTCTAATATAATATAAATTTATATTTGAGAAAATTCGTGTTTTGAATGAACAGCATGTACAAATTTATGAATGCGTCTGTGGGGTAGCCCGCTGTATGTAATGGACTTGAGTCGAGGACGAGTTGAGGTGTGATAGCCCAATCCGGTGACGAAACTTTGCTGGACGAGCAGAGCATGGTTGCATTTGTGTAAACTGCTGGATATAATTATACAAGTGCAAATGGTTAACTCGTGTCCCCATCATTGTTCCGGCCCCCTCTCCACCTCCCCATCATTGCTCCCCCCCCCTCCACCTGCCGATGCACATCTCCCTCACCGGACACCGGGGGGGGGGGGGGCGTCCCGCTTCCTCTGCAGGCGCCGGTGCGCACCGATGAGCAGGAAGCAGCACCTCGGCTGTACAAATGCGCGTTAAAACTTGAAAGTAAAGTTGGCTTGGCCAGTGACGAAGTGCTTGTATATTGGCGACTTGTATAGCGTTGTGCAGTATATATTGGTGTGTGTATTATGATGACACGTTCCTATCCTCCGCAGGGCAAGTGACGCAGCACCGTCTCCAGTAATAGCACGAGTGACAAGTGTCAGTATTAACTATCAGTATATGCCAGCAGAAGATGTATTGATGAGAGGCGTTGTGATGCAAGCCGGGGTGATGTGTGGGGGTGGGCAGGTGCAGCGGCCCTCACAAGTACGTTGGTAAACGGCTTGTGTGGCGGCGGGGACGTGCTCCTCCTGCACTCCCACAGCTCCTGGCCTCCGGGAACGGGAGCACAAGGCGCGGAAACAGGAAGTTTGATAATAGTTTGAAAAAATAGATAAAGGAAGCAAAGTGATGAAGATGGCGGCTGACCCGGCTAGTGGGCTCCTCGACCAGGACATCCTCCAGGACCACTACATCATCGCTAACCATTTTAATGGTGAGTTCTCACCTCCAACCTTCTCTCACTATGTTTACCTCCCTCCTACCTTCTCTTTCTCTCTCTCTCTCCTTCGTCTTTCAGGTTATTTATATTTATAAGATAAGATGTTTGTCGGAGGCTGGAGGCCAGACGCTTGGGGCTAGCCTCGCCCAACTTTCCCCGTACAGTCATCTTGACGACGGGGAGTATCTCGCACCAGGCCATGTTGGCCCACGCACAAGTCTTTAAGAAATAGCGGCATTTATAGCAATTTTTATTAAATACATGACAATAGCTACATGCTATTTTCATTAAATCTGAAATATTTGATTTCTATAGAGTTGTTTGGCAGTTATGCCTCGTAATAATATATTTTCTGAGGGGAGGACGAGGGGGAAGAGACCCAAGCACACCCGGGTGCTCCTTCCAGTAGGGGTTAACACGTATGAGGGAAGGGGAAGCTCCCTACAGGACGTCACAGCCAGCTGAGTCACAACAAGGACGCAGCACATAGTAACCTTGAAAATGCACAAATTACGATGCTCGCTCCAGTCCCTGGTCATCTGCTTTTTTTTTTAGTTCACTTATTGTAGACCCGGTACCCATCCTGTGAGTGGTGGAGGACCCCATACCCATCCTGTGAGTGGTGGAGGACCCCATACCCATCCTGCGAGTGGTGGTGGACCCCGTACCCATCCTGCGAGTGGTGGAAGACCCCATCCCGTGAGTGGAAAAGATTAGGAGTCATAATAGGCTCAAGGGCTGAACCCCCAAAATTCATTTGGCTGAAGTTACAGCCTTGATTAATTACATAGTTTTAACATATATATCAACTGTAATTAAGTTCTGAATTTTCTCCAGGACCACCGTCAGGGATCCCCCTCCCCCCCTCTCCTCAAGAATATAATTATTCTTTAGGATTTTGTCCAGCTGAGTTTTAAACTGGATAGCGTACAGTCTTTGCATTTACAGCTTCGATGGGTAGGCGGTTCCATGGTATTATATTGGGTAATATGTTACCCGGAGATTTCTTGCTATTACCCTGTAATATTTAATATTTAAAGTTTGAATATTTACAGAATGCTTTCCTCCAATATATTGTATATTTTATTTCATACATGTTGCAACGCAAGAAATGTTGCTGGCAATTGGATGTTATAAAGTGTGCAGATAAATTGTAAATGTTAATGTGGCATATCTACCGAGATGTGATAAAGATGGGGCGAGTATAGGGTGCACAATACACCAACCATGATCATTATAATGATCAAAGACGGGCCGAAACGTCGTTGGTTCTTAATTTCCAGATTTGCGGCTTTGGTGTCGATATCGAATATATTTATTTCTGGTTTTGATGTTCGTACAAATGTATCTAATCTAGCATAACATACTACTCAAAATCCTAGCTAGGTATCGCAAGTGTGGCCACAGTAGGTAGTACACGTGACGTGTGTAAGTTGACCGCTGCCCGCAAGCTCCCTTACCTGGTGACCATACCTGGTTGATGGAGTTCTGGGAGCGGCCCGCAGGCCCACCACAGCCCAGTTGGTCCGGCACTCCTTGGAGGAATAAATCTAGTTTCCTCTTGAAGATGTCCACGGTTGTTCCGGCAATATTTCTTGTGTACATTGCCTCATTGTCTAACTTCACTACCGTAGCTAAACTACTACTATTGTAACTTGATCGTCTAAATAGACAAAACTATATAACTGGTTCATAAATGTAGATTTAGCTTAAAGCACAGCGTGGTGCAGTTCCTGAACCTGGCGTGTGAGAAAGGATGGCTTCTACGCTGCCCAACTAATGAAAGTAATTAAACTAGGACCGGGTGTGTCCGCGCTGATTCATGTGATGAGAGCCTGCCAGCGGGCTGTTCGACAAGGACAATTATTGGGCGTCTGAGAAACATTACCAATTGACCAGGTGGCTGTGATAAGAGCTTGGAATGGTCTTGGAGTGTTCTTGCAACGAATCTCTCTACGACCTCTCTCCTGTCGGCCCCCCTTACGCTTCCTTCAGTAGCCCCTCTCAACGCTCTTCCCCCCCCCCCCCAGCTTTCCTCGTGGAAAGACCAGGTGCTGTTCTCTATTCTCTCACACTGTTGATACGAAGTGCTTCTAGGTACCTGGTGGTAGCGAGAGGTACACCACCTCACCTCAAGCTCCACTCAGAAATTGGCGTGATGCAATCGAGGATCACGAGGCTTGACGGTAGAGCGCTGTGACGTAATGTCTCGGCGGTTCCAGGGGATTATGGGATTATAGCTCTTGAGTTGGGAATTCTAAAAGTCTCTCTCGTACACTATAGGAAGCCTTGTTATGGCATCAAATAGCGATGATGCAAGAACTAGCTGACACTACCAGTAATGCCAGCGCAGCCACTAGTGCAATAAATCACTGCAGTATTTAGAAAACGTAAAGCAAATGGACTTAGTCTACAGACTCGACCGGCTCCCTGCACAACCCGTCTTCAGACGAAGTCCATTCCATTCAGCGGTCGACCCCCAAAGACGCATTCATAAATTTTAACATGCTGTTCATTCAAAATTTTCTCAAATATAAATTGATTATATAAGCATATTGTGCATATTTAGGCATTAGTTAGGTTAGGTGTTTAGGTTCTGTTGGCAATTATTTGTATTTGCAGTACGTGGGGGTGAAGCTTTTACAGCGTTGTGGTTCGAACCGGTTGTCAGCGAAAGCCATATCAGTAGTGTATATTAACCATATTAGTGTCTGGCTTCAGATGCAAGCACGTTAGTATTTGATTGTAAGCTATTTAATGCTAATAGTGAGGAAAGGGAGTCTGGAATAATTAAGATGTCTACTTCAGTACTTTTGTCAATAATTTTGAGTACTACCAATATAGCTACCAGTAGCTATAGCAATATAGCTACCAGTAGCTATAGCAATATAGCTACCAGTAGCTATAGCAATATAGCTACCAGTAGCTATAGCAATATAGCTACCAGTAGCTATAGCAATATAGCTACCAGTAGCTATAGCAATATAGCTACCAGTAGCTATAGCAATATAGCTACCAGTAGCTATAGCAATATAGCTACCAGTAGCTATAGCAATATAGCTACCAGTAGCTATAGCAATATAGCTACCAGTAGCTATAGCAATATAGCTACCAGTAGCTATAGCAATATAGCTACCAGTAGCTATAGCAATATAGCTACCAGTAGCTATAGCAATATAGCTACCAGTAGCTATAACAATATAGCTACCAGTAGCTATAGCAATATAGCTACTGGTACCTGGGTGTTAGTCAGCTGTCACGGGCTGCTTCCTGGGGGTGGAGGCCTGGTCGAGGACCGGGCCGCGGGGACACTAAAAAAGCCCCGAAATCATCTCAAGATAACCAGTTCTACTTGTAAGGAGAATGCCCATGCAGTTACTAGATTCTTGTATTCTTTTCAATTGTGCTTCCACCAGGCTGATGACCAATAACACCACTTGCCCGCCCTCCCCAGTAGCTGAATAGTGATCCGTCGGTGTATATGGTCTGAATGATGTGTTTAGTAGAGATTGTGTCGGCTTGTGGTTGTATCCTGGGGAGGGTCAGTAGTTAGACCTTCGGAGGCCCTCGATATACCTGGAGTGTCTCTCGGGAGTTCTTTTACTCCCCGAGCCCGGCTTGAGGCCAGGTTCGACTTGAGATAACTTGGTCCAACAGGCTGTTGCTTGGAGCGGCCCGCAGGATCACATATCCACTGCAGCCTGCTTGGTCCAGCACTAGCCTAACATATATAATTGTATGTATACAATATGTATATATATTTGCTGCCTCGGGCACCTTTCATTGTCCACAGACAATGAAATTATTAAACAAAGTCGCTCGTGGTGCAAGGGCCTACAGAATCAGTTGTCTTTAACCATTTCCACTGCCAATAACACGACTGTACAGGGTGCATAATAGACAAAACTGAAAACTCATTATGAATGGGTGTAGCCCGCAGCCAGCGTGCGGTGCTCAGTAAGGGAGGGTGTGGTGTAGCCCGCAGCCAGCGTGCGGTGCTCAGTAAGGGATGGGTGTGGTGTAGCCCACAGCCAGCGTGTGGTGCTCAGTAAGGGAGGGTGTGGTGTAGCCCGCAGCCAGCGTGTGGTGCTCAGTAAGGGTGTGGTATAGCCCACAGCCAGCGTGTGGTGCTCAGTAAGGGAGGGTGTGGTGTAGCCCGCAGCCAGCGTGTGGTGCTCAGTAAGGGAGGGTGTGGTGTAGCCCCAGCCAGCGTGTGGTGCTCAGTAAGGGTGTGGTGTAGCCCGCAGCCAGCGTGTGGTGCTCAGTAAGGGTGTGGTGTAGCCCACAGCCAGCGTGTGGTGCTCAGTAAGGGAGGGTGTGGTGTAGCCCGCAGCCAGCGTGTGGTGCTCAGTAAGGGTGTGGTGTAGCCCACAGCCAGCGTGTGGTGCTCAGTAAGGGAGGGTGTGGTGTAGCCCACAGCCAGCATGTGGTGCTCAGTAAGGGAGGGTGTGGTGTAGCCCACAGCCAGCGTGTGGTGCTCAGTAAGGGAGGGTGTGGTGTAGCCCACAGCCAGCGTGTGGTGCTCAGAAAGGGAGGGTGTGGTGTAGCCCACAGCCAGCGTGTGGTGCTCAGAAAGGGAGGGTGTGGTGTAGCCAGCGCCGAGGATGGGAGCCACGAGTATCGAGCACACCAGACATGTGCTGACTGCTATAGATCAGCCGTTGCGAGAGTGTCGCCAACTTTAGTATAGTTCGTCTGGCTTTACCAAACACTTTAACCTAATATGGTATAGTTTTTGAATCATAATCTTGGGTTAACTACAAATACTTCAACAATAAAGGCAACAGTTTAAAGTGCGGCAATACACAATTACGTGGCGCTGCACGTGCGTTTGACCTGTTTCCATTAGCACTTAAGAGGATGAGCATAGGGTGCATAAATGAAGTAGAGGTGATGGTAACTCACAGTATAGTGTAGTGGCAACTAAGGGCGTGGTGGAAGGCCGCATGCACCAGCAGACGTCTGCCACATGACCTAGTCACAAGCCGGCAACTCCTCTCTCTCGCTCTCCCCCCACCCTCACCTTATTATATTTTTCACACTTTGTCTTGGGAGTAAGTAATAGAGGTGAGAGAAGCAGTGGTGGGGGAGTGCTGGGAGGATGTGGGTGCTGGTCAAAGGTGAAGCACGCGAACACAGGACAGTAAAAGCAGATACCTTAGGCAGGTATGGACTGGTGGCAGCTCTCGTACGTCTGGCACGCCCTCTACACAGTTGCCAGGCCGGGGGAGTCAATAACTGGAGTGTTCCATTATATAGCAAACAAAATGTATAAACAAATATTTTACTTTTTTACAAAAGTCAATACTACAAAAGTGGCCTTTGTACTCCACGGGTTGAGTCGTTTGTGTTTTCTGTTAATATTGTAATTTAATGTCAGTAATGTGATGGTAACTGTTGGGGCCGCCGGCCGCTCTTCACTGATGACAGCCGCTAATACTTTCACGTATTTAATTTAATTTAAGATTTACTTATAAGCAGTGCATATTTGTTCTTTATATTACATTGTATTGCTGTACCATGATTAATGGGTGGATAAGGTAACTGCTGCTCTACGGTAACGTGTAGCTGCTGGAATGAGGTTAGTACATTTAATTGGGTATGGGGCGCATAATAAATGAACTAAACTAACATCATGCCGGCCTAAAGGGTTTAATTACTGGACATTGGTTAAACTATTGGTGTGTGTGACCCAGTTCTTCCTGGCAGTATACCTGGGATCAGGAGGGTCGTTACTATCAGCCATCTGTTGATGAGCTGGTTGTGGTAGACTATAACACAAGGACTATATGTACCTTGATAGGACCCTATCAAGGGGTCCTGTCAAGAACACACAGTCTACACTCAACCAGATCACCAGAGAGATCCTGACAAACAAAAAATATTCACTAGATAAAGCTATATAGAAGATTTTGGCATGGGCGAGGTATATACACATCAAACAATCCCAGCCACCTACCATCAGCCCCAGCCATCACTGAAACAGGAGATTGGCAAGCTGTAGTAGGCAATAGTAAGGGGCTTCACCACATCCCCTGTTATATATTCGGCTGCTCTAAAATTGTAACCGTTCATCTGGTCACCACTTGGTCCGGGAGACATCTCACGTCACGCAGGGTGCAGTCGCGCCTCCACAGATCTCCAGTATCAGCTCTTGATACTGGTAATGGCTCAAAAAGGGCCACCACTTACGAGCTATTCATGCCCGTGCCACCTTTTGGGTGGCTTCATCTTCATCAATCAATTCAATCTGTTTAAATCACGGAAGACATCTTCCGTCACGCAGGGTGCAGTCGCACCTCCACAGATCTCCAGTATCATCTATTGATACTGGTGATAGCTCAAAAGGGCCACCACTTACGAGCTATTCATGCCCGTGCCACCTTTTGGGTGGCATCATCTTCATAACACATTCACAAGGGAGACATCTCCCGCCATGCAGGGTGCATTCGCACCTCCACAGATCTCCAGTATCAGCTATTGATACTGGTAATGGCTCAAAAGGGCCACCACTTACGGGCTATTCATGCCCGTGCCACCTTTTAGGTGGCTGAATCTTCATCAATCAATCAATCAATTGTAACCCTTACGGGCTATTCATACCCGTGCCACCACTTGAGTGGCTTAATCTTCCTCAGTCAGTCAATTGTAACCACTCGTACTCTGCCTTTGATAATGTTGACAAGGGTCAACGAAACACGTCTCTTAGCGTCGGGCCACAATAAAACTATAAAATGAACTTTTGTACAATTTTTAACTTTTCAAGTTAAGAAAATTAGTGCTAGAATCATTGATCTCGCTCTTTCT